CAGGATGTTGTGGGGGGACCCATCTTAGCCAGCCTTTTTGTTTATGCATTTTAATTAATTGCTTCATGACTGCCCTTTTAAAGCTAGTAACATTTATTGTTGCATGAAAAGCACATTGTAATTCTAGTGGAATGTGTTTGGAAATAACTCTAGAGCCTGTAACTGGAGAGCAGTAGGCATGCCTATGCGGGTTTACACAGTCTGCTTATTACTCCGTATGTGTCCGATCAGGGCTGAGGAGGGGCTAGGGGAGTAGGAGGGGAGTGTGTGAGTGTTTGATATTAACTGGGCTGTTCCTGAATGTTCCGATGCATGCCTTTACAGTGGTAAATTGCACCCGACTTAAATTAAGGAGGTTTGTCATTCTCTAGAAGAAATTAGAAATACTGCATAGGCAATCTCAGGTCCCCTGGAGAAGGCCAGGCTTTTACGAACAACAAAAACATTTTGAAGGCTTTGTATAATTTGTTCTTTTTTTTCAGAACACAGCGAATGTTTCCTAAATCCTTGCCTTTCACTTCCTCCGATTACAGGTGCTAATGTCATTTTGAGTCGTTAAAATAGTTGCTTAAACTGTTTTTTAATTTTTCTTGCCATTATAGTTTGATTAACATTAAACACGTATGACATTTGAACATTCTTTAAAATGACCATCTACTCGGTTTTGTATGTTTCAGTAGAGTAATTTTTTTTCAGTTGCTTTTGTTGTTTCTTTTTCTTTTTTTTTTTAATTTAATTTAACTTTTGCTTTGTTTATTTTTCCCATAACAGTTGTTTAAGCAGTAATGACAGTGATCTAGAGTTGAACTAACTGTGCAAATTGAATATGCAGTATTTCTTTAAAAGAGACTGGTTTTAAAAAAAATGGAAGGAATTCAGTAATAAACCTCCTTAATCTAATGGCATTTTTTTTCATTGCTCCCACTAAGTTTTCTCATGCAAGCATGCATCTGCAGTATGATTATTTTTTTCCTTTGCTTTTTTTTAAATTTTAGTTTTTTTTCTTCCTTTTGCTTTTCTGCTCATACTTTGCAAGCCCACTAGCATTTTACTGACTGTACCTGCTTAAATGCTGCTATGAGCTTCTGACTAACTCCTAACAGCTCATTTACATAGCCTGTGTACCTTTATCTGTTCCTCTCTTAATATTAATGAGCATAGATTAAAAAAGAAAAGATGAACATTCCAAAAGCTGCAATATCCCAGTACCACAATCCTTTTCTTTCTTTATGTCTTTCTGTTTCATTTCATTTTGTTCTGTTTTTATTTGCAGTATTTTTCTCTTTTTTTGTACTGTTATACTCTGAGAAGAAAAAAGCATGTTACAAACTTAATTCCCTCCTTTGCTTTATTTTCTTCTTTAAGAAAAACAAATTGAGAGAAAAAAAAAAACAAAAAAGTGGAAACGTATTATTTGAAAGCTACGTATTTAGTACCTAACCTCCCTGTATCAGCTTGAACCGAATCTGAGACAGTCCTTAATGAAGGGATACTGCAGCTTTATTTGCAACAGCTAATTTCACAAGTTGAATAAGAATGTGATTTTTTTTTTACCTTTTTTTTTATTATTAAAGAAAGTTAAAAATCAAAAGTCGATATTTTGTAATTAGTAACCAGGTCATTGATTTATTCCCTTTTTTATTTTTATTTTTTTCTTATTTGTATCTTTCTCTTTTCCCCTCCCTCCCCCTCTCTCTCTCTTTCTCTCTCTCTCTCTCTCTCTCCCTCTCCCTCTCTCCCTTGTTCTCCTCCTCTGCTCGCTTCTCTCTCGAACTCATTCAGACCTGAGCGCTCCTAAGAAATGCCGAGCGCGCTTTGGCCTTGATCAACAGAATAACTGGTGCGGCCCTTGCAGGTGTGTATAGATTTCCCAGATTCGCTGTGCTGGTTTGCAGCTGGTCTATTCGGTCGTTTCCCCCTCTCTGGCCTGTCGCTTTGTAGCTCTGTGTGTGGATCTTAGGAGACACGAGGGCGCGGGACACTGCTCTGTGAGGGATGTGCTTGTCCCCCCGCTGCTGCTAGCCAAAATGCCACTGTAAAACAGCATCACTTGTGCCTCCTCGGGTCAGCGACGGCAAACCCCAGCATGCCCCTCCCAGGGAACGTTGCCTGCCAACCCCCTTGCTCATGACAGCCCGGGACGGGGCTCAGGGACATCCACCATAACCCTGGCCTAGGTAGACGCCAACGTCGCCTTTCCCCCTCCTCTTCTCTCTCTGTTTTTATTTTTTCCCCCCTTGTTTTTTTTTGTTTTTGTTTTTTGTTTTTTGTTTTGGTTTCTGGTTGTTGTTTTCTTTTGTGTGTGTGTGTGTGTGTGTGTATGTGTGTGTGTTTTATCGTTTTATTTTATTTTTTTCTTTTGACTCATAGAAGTCCTTCCCTTTCATGCCCTTGGTCAGGGAAGGAGTGAGTAGAGCCGAGGTGATGCGGAAGACAGGTCAGCTGTAGCTGAGCGTCCACACGCAGCTGAGCACGACCCACCATTGTGTTGTGTTTTTTTGTGTTTACCTTATGCTAACAGATGCAAATACTCCAAAGAAGTGTCGGGCACTGTTCGGGCTTGACCGACAGACTTTATGGTGCAAACCGTGCAGGTATATGACCACTGCGAGGCCTTTGGGAAAATCAAAGCAATTCTGTCCTCTGATACCTTAGTGTGTCAATATATCTGGACCCCGTCCCCGTCTACCTTGCACTGGCATCAATGACTAATGATCCTCACTCTTCCAAATTCCCTTGCTAATTTTACGCTCTCCCCACTGTCTCTTCCTCTCTTTCCCCCATCCTCTTCCAAAGAACACATGACCCCGGTGGTAGGGCCTAGACAGCAACCCCAACAGACCAGGACAGGCACTTGCCCTTTTGCTCTGAAAGCCAGCCTCCTGGAACTGGCCCCACCCGGGAAGGCTCCCATAGCCCGAACGCCGGGTGCAGAGGGAGCTGGAATTGGCAGCAGTAGCATTTCCGTGCACTCAGAGTCGAGGCACTTGGAGATGTGCTCTGGGGCAGGCTTTTTAAATTTTTTTGGTTTGGTTTTGTTGTTTTGTTTTATGTTAAAAACCCACATCTGTGTGCAGAGGAGCTTGGCTAGCTGACATGGTTTTACAGTGCTGCAAAGAAGCGTGGCATCGATCGGCAGGCACCAGCTAACAGGGCTGCACGAGGGAGCCCCGCAGGTCCACGCTCTGGTGCTGCTGGTCTGCGGGGCGAACAACACACACATCTCTTTTAGAGAGAGAGAGGGAGAGAGAGAGAGAGCACACGTTGGTTCCAAAAGGAATCAGAAGCGTCCCGATTCAACCCCGGGTTCCACCCACAGGCTCCCATCCAACCTGTAACCTCAGGGAAGGGATAGGTACTTCCTTCTTGGTGGAGGGATACCGACTAGTGCCTGTCTCCTTTCCTTCCCTTCAATGACCACCTTGGTTAAATTTGTTGTTTCTTTGTTCTGATACAAGCAGTCTTTGAATTTGGAATATTATGATGGTAGGTATCTCAACACCCAAACACGCCTTTCTGTTTGTAGTGCCTCCCCTGTCACGTGTCCCTCTCCTCCATGCCTTTGCCATTTGTTCCGTGTCTAGACGTTAGATCAGATGTCCATCCCATTACGTGCATGCCCACGACTCCCGTGTCTCCTCCCCTTCCGATGCCTTCCAAGCGAGAGACTGGGGCAGTGTCTGGCGTTGACAACACCTTTAGGGGAGAGAGGGCTTGAGAGCTGATGGAGAGGGAAGTCCCCAGGCGACTCTCCGCCCAGTGAGTGAGGATGGGGGTGAGGATGGGGGTGCCTCGGGCGGAGGCCCACCAGGAGAGGGGTTGATTCAGCCATTCTGTGAGATGGCAGTGTTCACAGAGGTGACAGATGTCCTTCCCACAGTCTTCTCTGTGCAACAGAAAGGGGTTTCCTGATGGGGTTGACGGAAGATGTTAGTATTTAATTAGGGACAGCCCGGAAGACAGGGGCCCTGCTTCCCCTAACTATCCACGCTGGGAATTTGTGGGGCCCAGTAGGAAGATCACTGGCTGGGGAACCCTGTTCCGAGGCACCCACCGTGGCCATGGCCAAGGATGAGCTAACCACAGGGTGCACTTGGAGAGAGGGTTCCTCACCATAGAAAGTATGGCTGCACCACACGCACACCTCGCCAGGTGGACTGTTGCCTGGTTTGTGCGTTTTATTTGGGGAGGCGAGCCATGGTCCATGAATCCCTGTTTTGTTTGGGAAGCAGCAACTTCGAGGTAGACTTGGCCCTTTTTTTTTATTATGGGTGAAAGTTCATCACTAACTTCCACGGGACGGACAATCCCTTCCTAGACACAGACAGCCCTTACCTAAAGCCATGACAATTCCTCAGAGACTAGAATTTTCATGACATTTTTACCCAAAACAAAAACAGCCGAAGACCTTGGTAGCTGTTTCGTAAACGTGATTTCCTCCCCTGCAGCTTCGAGGGGCCAGCCGCCGTCAGTGTGGCGGCCTGGCTGTGGGTGCCGAGGGGTCCCTCCCGCCTCAGCACTGTCGGTGGGTCCTAGTGGCCACTGTCTTCTGTGGGGGGCAGTGTTCGTACCCTAAAAGCTGTTAGCAGA